TATACATTGAAGTTATTTTATGACACCTGTGGACTAAATAGACTCTCACTTAACTAGAACTGCTCTTGTCGGCTGAGGGTCATCGACATTCTGGCATCGCTGCAGCGGGAAAAAGGAGGATTGGAAACTGAATGCCAAACAAATTGAGCTGTAGACAGGGTCTTAAGCCTGTCAATCTCTAGTCAATCTTTGTTGATTGTTGGTGATCCCACTGTGGCACTAGGGCTTTTGATAATGACGTTCCTGCAATGTCCACATACGGGATGAGCTCGAAATGTGAACACTGAACTCTGATCAGCGTGCTCCTCTCTGTCCTCCCTTGGTATTACCGCCCAGGCAGCTTCAAAGCAAGGTAGACAATTGGAAAACAATGTTTGTTTACACTAAAACTTAAAAATAAGAAGTGATTTTTCTGTGTTGCAAAGTTGACTGGTTTTAATGCAACCTGAAGGCCAGATTCATTTTCTTATTTTAGCACCTACAGTGTTTGTACATCCAAACTGATAAAGAGCTCTTTAATCAAGTTATATTCTTACTTGCCATAACCCTTCCTCCCCCGTGTCGCTTTTGTTTGAACATCTTTCACCACCCAAATAGACTTGCAAGAAGGATTTTACAGAATTTACGAGCATACAGCAGTTATTTATAGGCCAGTATAAGCAGTAGGTAGGGGAGACGAGCGTGCTGCCGAGCTAACCCTTAGTGCAGGGCTCTCCAGCCCGGGCGCGGGTGCCTGCTGGGTCTCTCATGCGGGACACACATGGATCCAGTCTCTTCTTCCTGCCTCCTGTAGCTCTCCGATGATTTTCCCCAGTTCTTGCACATTTTTGTAACCAGGGATTAACCCCTTCCCAGCCAGCACTTTCATTTCTGCCTGTGTTTTAACTCTGGGTGCACGAGAGGTCCACATTCTTGCTCCATTTTAGTGTTTTGAGGCCTGCAGCATACATGGCATTGGAAAGCAATATATTTGGAGACAAATGGGCTTTAATTAGTTGTAGAATAAAGCCCTTTGGGCTGGGTGATTTAAATCCATTTTTTGCCATCCCTGCCATAACAAACCTAACATACTCTGTTAGGAGAAGAAGCTGGCTTATGGACTGCATACATTGATGGGACTCCTGTCTCCTAGGCAATTTTGTATACCTGATGGGCAGTTCTGCTGAACAGTTTTAGGAGTTGATTTGAGAAAACCACTGTTTGAGAAAACCACTGAACTTAAATATTTAAATCAGAGCTTAAAGGGTATGTAGTCTTGTGTTGGTTGGCTTTCTGCGCATGTTTAATCAGTGAGTAGTACTGCAAGCCTGTTTTTTTTTTTTTTTTGGATTCAAGAAGCTATTTATGAAGTGGGTATCTTGCTCCCAAAGAGGATTATAGGCTTAGACCCAACAATAATCAGTGCTTATAAATTATTTTGGGGGGAATTATATGTAATATACTAAATCTTGAAAATTATATGTACCATATGCTTACCAAGCCAAAATGTAGTCACACACCAGCTCAGTTCTCAACTTTGAAATCTGTTGGGATTTGATCCATTGTCTCAGTTCCTTTATAAGCTTAACGCCCTGGCAGGAACTTTTGTGATGGAGATGGAGTCTGTTGGTATTAACCTAACCCTAACACTGACCAAGGGGCTTCTCCACAAGCAGAGCCTGCTCTGCCTCTCTGCTTCAACCCGCTCTGAATAAAATGCACAGAAAAACAGTATTTAGGAAGTGTAGGTCTTTGGAGATCTTTACAGAAGAAGTTTTTTTCAAATATATAAATGTCATTTTTGCATGTTGGATGCTACCCTTATCCCATCTGCAGCAGCCACGATGGTAGCGCTGGAATTGCCTTTGCAGATTTAGAAAACTGCTCTTGCACATAGTTACTTGCCTCTGCCTTAACACGATAAGGATTTAGCTTCTTGCTGTGAGGACTAAATGGATCTTGCATTTCAAGTCTTTGTGTAAATTGAGGGAAGGAACACTGGTAACTAATTTTTGAAGCCTTGAAAGATGCTAAGTAGAAAACATTAATCTTTTTTATTGTACGATCCGCTTGAAAGAATTACCTGATCTTTCATTTTTGATTTTCAGCTATCATTAAAGTAACTGGACTGTCAAAACCTGTTTTGTGTTCTCCTGCAAATACTTCCTTTGTGTCCAGCCCTGTTCCTTAACGCATAAACACCTCCCTTTGTTTTTATTAGCTTCCTCCGTGAGGTGTAAATAACTGTAACAAATGCACATTCCTGCGTGAGCCAGCTCAGAACTGAGTGGATTCCCAACGGCCTTGCCAGACTGGCATCTTAGCATTTATTCAGTCTGATCCTCTACAGTTTGCACTTTTTCAGTTTCAAAGACCACGTAACTCTCGGCTGCCTAAAGACATGAGAGATTCATTTTTCTCACAAGCAAAATGAGCAGGTATTTTCAGCTCCCTCCATTTTGTTTAAAGTTTGTCTTTGAAAGTCTGGCGTGATGAATTTGAGATTACCTTTCGGGCACATCCCTATTTCTTTCCATTACCTGTATTTTAAGGTTATACATCTCACTCCTTGCTGCTCGAGTGCGGTCGAATACTATTAAACTCTTCTTGGTCGGGTAGCTCAGACAGTGCAGGACAACTTTTCCTTTGAAGACCTTTTTTAGACATAAAAAGGCTTGTAGCATCTTAGATGTTGCCTAATTCGAATCTCAGAAGTGAAAAAAATAACTGAGGAGCTGAGCCGCATGCCTAAGATTGTACATAATCTTATTTTGTTCCAGTCTGTCTTCAGTTCTTACTCCATGTGGCCAGGCAATCCTCTGTTCCCGCATTTGTCCCCTGTCCCTGGATTTGTGCCCTTCAGTTCCCTGTCTCCCACACCTCCACCAGGAGTTCCCGAATTCCCGTTCGTCTTCGTGCTCCTTCCAAATCCTGTTCCAAACTAACTTCTTACCGCCCTCTCTTCAGTCGTGTTTTTTCAATAACTTAGTTTTCTGAACAGTTATTTTTCATCCTCCCTTCTCTACAGGTCTCATCTGTTCAGGATTTACGTTTCCTAGACCAGGACCATCTGTCTTCAAACCACCTTTAATGGTGGGCGGAAAGGGAGCTCATGCGACCTTGTGGGGATGGGGTTGAGTCTCCATCCTTGGCCATTGCCCCAACCCGAACCTCCGTCCTTGCCCGTTGACAAAACTGGAGCAGGGGGCGGGCGGCCCAGGGTGGCCCCGCAGCTCCCGCTGCTCTGGGGAGCAGGAGGGCTTGGACTAGGAGGTCTCCAGACCTACTGCTAATTGCTGCAGGGATGCGCTGCTCTCCCGGGTAGCAAGTCTGGTTATTCCCAGTCTTCAGCCCCTCCGAAGGTCTTGACATGAGAAAGAGCTGTATTCATTGAGTGATCCTTTCTGTCGTATTTGAAGGCTGCATGCATGCAGTAAGGCTGTTTTTGCAGGAATGTTTCTGTACTCGTATGAAGAAGTTACAAAGTGAAATTCCACTCCTATTAAAAAAAAAAAAATTACTTGGAAATAGGTAAGGTGTAAATAGAAGCAGGTCGGGAATAATCCTGAATGAAACGCGAGTACATTGGACAGGGAGATTTTGAGGCGATTGGTCGGGAAAAATAATCATGGTATTTTTATGCTGTTCAGTTACTTGTCATGTGTTAATTAAAAAGCACAAAATACCTGGTGTGACCATATAGTGTGGGTTTTACTCATTTCCAGTTCTCTGTTACGCTAACGCCTTCTCCTGACCTCTGTAGTCTGAGGTCCCAGGTTAGAGAGTCAGATGCTAAATGTTAGCTGTGAACGTAGAGGGAGAGCGTGGTCGAGCTTAGGAGCTTTCCCCTTCCACGGATGTGCTGGTACTGTTGAGAACAGCAATTGGCAGCCTCGTCTGCCAGGAAACCCTCCTTGGTTGCGTTTCCCTTGGCGTGTTGGGCTACCACCAGCCACCCTGAAGGCCTGAGCCTGCTGCTTCCCTTCTCCAGGTGTTTGACGTTTTCCCGACTTCCGATGCAGCTGCGTTGGATCATGCCAAGCAAATGCTACATGTATGGAGCATTGCACAACCTTTGGAGAAAACTCAAACAACTTTATTATTATCTCCCCTTGGCATACGCTAAATACTGTGAAAAAATGTAGGTCTCTTGCATATAGATACTGAAAACAATGTGGACATTGCCTTAACTGAGATACCATTTTTTCATTATTTGTGATCCTTTACAGGCAGGATAATGCCATCTTGTAAGGCTGTCTGCTTCAAGCTATAGGACAGTATGTTTGTAATGGAAAAAAATATTTTTCAGTTACTTTTCTATGATGATTCCACCATTGAGATTTAATGTTTTAAATTTTCTTTATCTGGAGTGTGGGAGGTATTCTCACCCAAGGAAAGGTTCAGCATCAACTTAGTGAAATTGTTTCCTTTTACTTTTCAATATTTTATTTCATCTTCTCCCAAGCATTTCTGAAGATATCAAATGGTACCTGGTGGAATCATAATTGAGTTCAACAGCCAGTCCTGGCGGCCTCCTCAAAACATTCAAAAATGTTTCTATTTCTTAGAAGGGGCTGGAGGACTGAGTCCTTTTTTGCTGATGCAGTATCCTCTAGAAGCCCACAATTTATTTCTGCATTTTTGAATGAGGAAAAAGAATTCTGTTTTTTCTCTAGCCTAGAAATCAAACTAGAGTGTTCTGCTCAGAAATTATGGATGTAAATACTTCAGTCTTGCCTTTCTTTTTCATTACAATGGAGAAGGGAAAGATGGGTTAGCTGTGGTGTTTATTAGTGACTACTTGCCTTTTTCATTGTTTGAAGGATTAAAAATGCAGAATTAGCATTGCAGTGACATTATTCTGCAAATGGTTTGATATTCCATTCTGAAATTTATGATATTCCTGTATGCAGAAACAGGCTTACAAACACCTCCTTATCAGGTTTCTTAAAAGGGACTAAATTGACTTTTTTTTTCCCCCTTCTATACCATCCCGGTAAAATCCTGTTTTTCATTTCCAGGTTTTGTGGAATGAGCAGAGATGAATTTTATTTGAAGTAGGCTGAAAGGAGAAGGATAGTCACCCGACTGGAACCCTGGTCTGGAGCTCAAGAAACAAGGTAAATTCAGTATTTCCTTTACTCACTGCAGCAGTATGAGCTTCAGTGTTCATTTAATTGAACTGAATGATCAGCCTTGGTTAGATAAACATCCAAAGGGCTAAACCAATGTTCATTTTTCACCACGAGGTCTGAGGGACATGGCAACAGCTGCATTCTTTGGTTTTAGATGCACCCAGCTGCGGTTGCTGTAAGATGTCATGGAATTAGCATTAGCACTTCCAAGGGAAAGTCCCCCAGGCTGTCTCCTTAAGGGACTGTTCTCGTAGATGTTAAATGCTGCTACATTATGTAAGAGCTTGAGATCAGCTACTCCGTGGTAGAAATGTGGGAGATCCCAGAATCAATCTTCTCATGTATGTGTACAGGCTTTGTTAAACATACCCATTTTCTCTGAGGATTTTGGTTTAGTATGTTTTTTTAAATCAATTTTATTAATATAAAATAGTATAGGAAAACACCATCTCATTATTTATTTATTTATAACAGAATTTTGTTTTAGAGCTCATAGCTAATGTCTAGCAATATTTACTGTTGTCTCTGTGATATTTTTCCACTCATCTATCTTGCAAAACTTCAAGGCAGTGATCCGAAACCCCTGGGTTGGTTGCAGCTGAGCTTCGTGAAAAGCCTTCCGCTCCAAACCTGCCTCAGCTGCTCTTCCCATCCTGCTAGAGGTTACTGCCTGTCAGGCTGACAGCAGAAGGGCATTTGTAGCTTCTCCTTAGGCTGGCTCTATCAAACAGCCGGCATTTGGAAAAAGTTTAAGCTGATGCTGAACATTTTGGCTGGCACCAGGAGCTGCTGCATGCAGCTCTGAGGAGGCTGCATCCTGCAGAGCGAGAAGATGGTAGCGAGCAACTGGGGCACGTTGTGCACCGCAACCTTTTCACTTAACTCGCTGTCAGCAAAAACAGTACCTAGTAACAGCTGGGCGGTTTTTAAAAATAGTGTGAAAAGATGAGTGGAGAACTAGCAAAATATACCACAGGTCTGACTAAAGAAGTATTTTTTTCTAGATTTTTTTTTCTCGGATCCAAATGCAAGTTTTTCCTACTCATAAGCATTTATGTTTATCTTGTGAGCAAGTGGGCAGTGGTCCCTTTGTGGGGGATTTTTTTTTTTTTTTTTAATCAGTTTCAATTTTGGGAATGGGTGAAGGAACAGAGCTAGCTAAAATTAACATTGAAGATAATGAACCAGAAATTGTGCTGATTAATGTCTGATGCTGCATCAGTGAAGTCAAGACTCTTGCATAGCGTGCAACTCAGAAATAGCTTGGGCACATGGGCAGAAATCTCTCTACTGGAAATTTTTGGAATTCTTTCAAGTATTTTCTACTACCTGGAGGCCTGTGTCATTGCCATCAAAGGTAATGGTTAGATTTACAGCATACACAGTTGTAGTGGCAATGTGGCTACATGTTCTTTAGCATACCACTCAGCAGTAGCTTATACGGGACAGGAAAAGAAGAGTGTAAAGATAGTTTTGTGTGAGTTTGTGCAGTTATCTGTGTGAAGACTTAATTTCTGATAAATACCTAAATAATACACATGTGAAAGGCAGTCACTGAGTTGCTAATCTCTCACTAGATCTTTCTTTTTATGAATTCTCAGAGCCCTTTTTATTTACATTCTGTGTTTATCTAACAATCTTCTGCAGATCTTTAGAGGCAAGCTAAGTTCTAATAGGTAGCTTTAATATTTTAATATGTAGACTTAGAGTCAACTTGTTAAGCAATCTTAGATCGCATAAAGCCTTTTTTTTTTGAAGCTGAATGTACCAGTCTAGATATTAAAGAAAGTCTGCAGTTCCATGTTGGACTGCTTTGCAAAGCTCCTTCACTTCCATGTATGTTTTCAGCTGCTGGGAACAGCTTGACGGGAGCTGATGCAGTCGTAGGAGAGGTCTTCCCTGGATTCAACTGGTTTGGTTCCTTAGCTACAGCACTAACGTGGCTCTAGCTTCACAGCTGTTCCTCATTCCAATGTATTGCAGCCAGTGTAATCACAGGAAGCTTAATATATGCGTCAAATTAAGTTTCCTAGCAGGCATATCTTAATGATGAAAATCTCAAGGCAGATTGTGCGTGCCTGTCTTGTGTTAATAACCCTGTGGAAAATACAGCAGGGAGGAGGACGCAGCCTTCGAGCGGCGCTTCCGCGGGCGCTTGGCTTGCTGTGCTGAGAGCCCCTCTGTGTGAGGGGGGCATCGCTCAGCCTGCAACGCCAGGCAACCCGAGGAGCCTGCCCGCAAGCAGGGCACAGTGGCTGGGGCACAACTGAAGAGTCCCTCTTTTGGCTCCTTTCTTTACAGCGTATGTGACACACGTGGCATGATAGGGGAAGGTTCACTTGTTGAATCTGTTAAAATTATCCACAAGGCGTGACCAAAATAAAAGGCTTATGAAATACTTGGTTTTCAGAAGCGTGAGTCATGGGCAGTAGGTGGGGTAGCAACTAAAATTTGTGGAAAATATTTTTGGGGGAAAATCTTTTTTTTTTTTTTTTTTTTTTTTTAAACTTGTCCCAGGGAATTGTTTTGATCATTAGATCTTTAGAACTTTAGAAAAGTTTTTTTTTTCCCCCCCATTGCGTCATCCCAAGCCCTGAAGTATCTGTTTACTGCTGAAGTCAATCCTGTTTCAATGAGATCCGAAGAAGTGAAACAATGCAGAAAGCAATGCCAAAGAGTGAAGAATGTCAAGTTGTCAAAAATGTCTTCCGGGTAGGTTGGAAGTAATTTTCAAGAGTGCAGAAGTGAGAGGAAGAGAAATGAACACTGTCAGACCTAACTCTGAGATACAGCTTGGCTGTGAAAACTAAACATCGTTGGGTGCTCCCCAACGATGGGGTCTTGTCTGCAGAATGCAGCCAAATACGTAGCAAGAGGCTGAGCATTTCTTCCTTCTACAAGTGTAGTATTAATAATATTGGGAAGTTTGGCACTGTATTTATTTAAATATATACCAAAAAAGACATAAGCTTGATTTGCAGAAGATGTTGACCTGTGATAGGAGTTACCATAAGTTGGGATCTCCAGTAGGTTCTTGAGAGTTTCCACTTCACACTGACTGCCTGAAAACTCTTATGAAAGCGTTAGCAGAGGAAAAAACATCTTTCAAAATTGTTATTAGGCGGGCAGCAGCGTGGTGGGCAGCGTGTCTGAGTCCGGGAAGGCCCTAGAGGGTGTTTTGCTTTGCTGTGGATGTTCTGAATAGTCAAGAAAATATTGAACTCCTCACACCTTATATTTTGGTAATAATAGACCAATTTATTTGGTGTATTGGCCAAATACACCAAATTTGGTTTTGGTGTATTCTGATGTTCTTAGGATGCAGGATATTTTAAAGAAAAAAAATGTTGTGCCTTGAATGAGGATGTCGTTGTAGGAAATTAAAATTCTCCAACTCCCCAATACTGATACTGTGTGAGGAGCAAAATGGGAAAAGTGCCTTTGTCTCAAGAGATGAAACTAGCTAATGATATGGCAAATATTTGCTGACTATTTGTGACATTAATATATGTTGCAGTACCTGAGCAGCAGAAGCTAGGCAAATGAGGAGGGAAGAAGAGAAAACTGAAGCACCTTCTGTGTACACTGTCACCGCGGCAAAGCAGCAGTTTAATGGAGACCCAGGAGGATTTTTGTGGTAGCACTTTAAACCAAGTAATTATCTCAGGAATTAGCTGCACTGTGTATCTTTTGTGTTGTTTTAATCATAACTGCAATTCCGGTTTGTTTACACGCCTCTCCCGGGGGAGTCCTCCCTGGCGCTGCTTCCCAGCGCTTCCCTTGGAATGAGAGGAGGCCCGAGGAGGCGGCGCAGAGCTTTCCCACGGGGCAGATCCGTGCGCGGCAGATTCCCTCGTGCCCCTGTGGAAAATGTGACTAAACTGAAGAAAAACTTGGGCACTGCAGAGAAATGAGGAGGAATTAGTATATTTTAATTAACAATAAATCGTTGGGTGGCCGTAATTACTGTAATGATCACTTTTGGATTAAAATGCTCCTCCTTTATTTCACAAGTTAGCCAAAGCTCAGTGCATGCTGACAAATGTAAGGAGGCAAATATAAAACCAGGAAGTTTAGCCCATCAACATGTTTATATACATATATATATAGATAGATATAGATATATAAAATCATAGAATCACAGAATGCTTGAGGTTGGAAGGAATCTCTAGAGGTCATCGAGTCCAACCCCCCTGTACACACAGGGTCACCTAGAGCACGTGGCACAGGGCTGCATCCAAATGGGTTTTTATATATATATATATGTGTGTGTATTTGTAATAGTCTTTATATATATATGTGTATACACACATATATATATAAAGACTATTCTTTATATATATATGTGTATACACACATATATATATATAAAGACTATTACAAATATTTTCTTATATATAGTCTTATAGTCTTATATATAGAGTCTTATATATATGTAGTCTTATATATATATAAAGACTATTACAAATATATATACACATACACATATATATATATAAAGACTATTACAAATATTTTCAAGGAATGAGCATCCAGCAGTGAAGGATTTTACAGTTTTTGGAAGTTCTTGTGTGGATTCCAAGAAGGGGAGAGTTTTCCAGGATCTATTGCTTGTATCAATGTTTCCTGTCTCAGTACGGTCGCACTCTCAAATATTTTAATAGGCTAGTGGATTAGTTATAATGATGGTCTTGACAACTTTTGTGATGCTATATGGGAGTTTTTTAACATGCAGCCCTTCTGAATTTTCTTGCTAAATTACCAACCTTTGGTTATGTTTGCTTAGAATATGAAAATTAAAGGGGATTTCAAACCAAGAAATATCTTTAATCCTAATGGAAAATAGATAATAGTTGAAGCATTATGACTAAGCAGAAGTCTTCTTAAGCACAAGTCTTCTAATTAAGTGTTTTATAATACTTACAAAATTGAAAATCAGTACTTTCTTATTTGTTAACAACAAATAGAATACATATTTCAGAAAG